TATTTGAAGTTTTGCTGCGAAGACGAAGATGAGGAGGAAATTCTAAGTTGGGACATGGTCGATTTTAGTTTGAGCTCGCCTAATTTTCTGTTCAAATTCGTTGACACGATGCAGAGTGATTGGGGACTGGGACATGCTGGTCGTCTGGGATATTTGGATGCTATAAGTGACTTGATCGATTTTCGAAAAATTCACGGAWCGTGCTCGGACGTGGTGCTTAGAAACCTGACATCCAGCGAAGTGTATCTTAAGCGAGCCAGAAAAACTGTTGCAAAAATGATGAGGCTCAATTGGAGCAGTGACCTCGACATTGAAGCGTTGGAAGCTAAGGGACATTGGGCTACAATGGATGAGCTCTTGGGCGTGGTGACCTACCACCTTCCCCGTTACGAGGCAGTGACGAAAGTGTGCCGGGAGTCCCCGAGTAAAGCCACGCCTTCCGACCTGACTTTCGCCACCAAGTTTGTAGCTGTGTACTTGTTCATCAAGGTCAAGGGATCACGGCCGATGACGTATCAGTACCTGACAGTGGACATGGTCGACACAGCAAAGCGCAACGGAGGATTTATCGATCAAAAACAATTCAAGACGGCCGCACGATATGGATTTGATAGCCTTTACTTATCTGACACYAGTGTTCAAGTGCTTGATGCATATATTATCCACGTGCGACCACTTTTAAGGCCGACGTGTGACTATGTCCTCGTGACGAAAAATGGCTGGCAACACAGTAAGATCGGCGAACTCATGGGCAAGATGGTGTTTGATGCTACGGGCAAATATATACACCCGACACGCTACCGACAGATTGTSGAAACCGCCAGTCACCAACAATTGAACAGCGAAGAACAAGAAACGATTTCCGAAGATCAAAAACACAGCTCGGTGGTGGCTAAAGTTCATTATCAGAAGCGACGATCTCGCGATGTAGCGACAAAGGCTCACGAATGCATGAAAAAGTTRMATGGAAAAAAAGGATGGCAGTTGGACAACGACGTCAATGTTCGACTCTCGGATAGCCCTATTACATCTCCAACTGACAAAATGCAGCTGGACAATGGTGAAAATGCGCCGGAAGTTGGCACGAAAGAACAAACTCAAATTGAAGGCCAACAAAAAAGAAGCATGTTATTGTTTAACTCTGATGAAGACAARCACTTAAGAGATGGAATTAAACGCTATGGACACGGACAATGGGTTGCCATTCTCAGGGATCCCRAATATAAATTTCAGAAGGGCAGGACTGCCAATTCATTACTAAATAGGGCTATGAGAAAATATCCGCGAAAATAGTAAAGCGTGAAATACTAAATACATATCTTTTATTATATCATAATTATGCTTTACTACATTACATGAAATGCAATGTATAGCGATATGCTATCTCTAATACAG